TWCACAWTGTGAGCGTCTGMCAGAAATRTCTATTTTCCACTCACAACATGGTAGTGCAAGAAAATACAGTTGTGTCAAATTCCATGGTTGCGTATACGCAATGGTGCTATTGTAGATTTTCGCACTCAATGTGTTTTACTATATCCTAAAATGTCTGCAAAGTGGCATTTTAAAAATGGAATGAGAAGACGAAAGTTTATGTAAAAGGCTAAACATGGTATTCCAAAGTGTGTTCTCTAATAATTTCAAATGATATCCCATTATGATGAATGTATCATTAAAATTGTTCTTTAATTTTAACATACTTAAGTGTATCAAATTTGCTGCTTCTCCTTTTTTTTTCAATTAAAGTCTATATATGTCTTCTTAGATCTCATAGTTTGTATTTTACAAAAGCATTAAAAAAGTACATTGTGGTTCTTACTTATTACTTCGTGCACACCTTCTCTTTTATGCCTTGTCAGCGTAGCACAAATATTATATTTACTAATCTCTTTATAAAATTTCGAAACACGTCTCCCCTTTCAGTCAAAGATTTATTTCAGGACCTTATGTCATATGTACCCTTCAAGATTATGTAATCAAGCTATCATATCCCGAAAGCTCTTTAATTTTTTAATATCTCAATAATATATAAAGCATTAGCTAATTATACAAATCTGAATCATGAGTACTAGAGAAAACAAATGAAGAGCATATATTTAAGTAGTAATTTTATTAGAAAACTCGCTTGTCCTTAAACGCGTAATTTTCTCCAAATAAATTACAATCGTCGTGTATAGTATATACATATGAATGATAATATACTGAATCCACTAATGCGACAATTACATTTTTATAAGTACATTCATATATATAAGAAACTCAATACGCAAAATAAATACCAAAATTTCCATAAACATAATTTAAAAGAACCAGTGAAAAAATTAAAAGAGAAGACATATATACTTAAATAAATTATATACTTTCTTTTATGTGTAAATATAAATATGTAAATGGTTATGCGTAGATACATATGATTCGTGTTGACTCTCGCACACACTATCATCTTTTATGAGGAAACCGCAAATGTATAAAACAACCTCTAGATAACCGATTGTTCCCTACTCGTACTTTCTATATGTGTTAACAACACTCGGATGACCACTAAGTATTCATTGAGAAGTACCCAAATGGGGATTCATTTGTGCAGTTCAATAAATAAACGTTAAAATCAGCCACAGTGTGTATTTCATTGAAACAAAAATTTTGAGAAAAAATGCTTCCTCAACTTCATTAATGTATCTTAAATTTCATCACCAATAAAATGGATAAAGTCAGCCGGATGTTCGAAAATCCTGATGATTTTATTTATAAGGCTAGGTCAAGTATTCGCCCAATTTGATACATTTTAGGCATAAACATACACTTTTTTGAGTAAAACACGTTCTCCCATTCTTATTGATAATTTTTGTAGTATCAAGTCACAAGGAAGTTCGAAAATCTTTATACTATATATATGGGGACTGAGGGAAATATCGTGACGGACGGACATACAAACAAAGAGTCTCCCGGATTTCAACTCGTTTTATCATTTTATTAATTAATTTAATAATTTATTAAATAACTCACATATCTCTCGATTAGTTATAGGTGATACGTACAACCGTACAAACGTTTGATGAACTAGATATTTATGCTCTGTAGCAACATGTTGTATTAGTGTAAAAAGAGACATAATAATGTCTTTGTTGAAATTACGATAAGAACTTAACTTTGCCAAAAAAGAAAAAAACTTACTCAAATATTTAATATACCCCATCGAACGGGGTCCATAGTGGCAGACACGTTTTTTGAGGTAGTCAATTCTTAGTATTAGTTATCTCTATGGAAACATTATAAAGTTTCCAAGTTTTGGGAAAGCCAAAATCAGGCAGCTTGTGACAGAAGCTAGAAGGGTTTAGTTTTGTTATATAAAAGTAGAAATGAGCTCAAAATGAAAACGCCTATGACATTTTCATAGAGTAGTAAGTTCGACGAAACAAATCGCCATTGGAAACCCAAGTCATTCTTAATTTAAATTTAAGTCAACAACTAAAATTTCTACCACGTTCATAATTTATATGYACGTTACATAAATTCTCTACCCAAAAGTGGATAACTTTTGATATTTTTTTTACTCACATTTGATTACAAACATTCATAGGAATTTACCCGATCTTTCCTCACCTTCAGCAAATACTTTTGCACAACACCAAGTTTTTCCTATGTTTTTTATTTCTAATTATGTACTTACTTTCCATACACATTTATTTACACTAATATTAAATTTTAGATAGTACTTTATTTCTAATCACCTTTTCTCTATGTTTATACTTTTGTATATTGAATAGTAATTTATTTTGAACACAATAACTCTTTACTTATTTTTCAMTCACCAGCAACTTTTGYATACTGCATCGAATGCACTGCTKTTTTGTTCGRCTCCACATATTGTTTACATTCTATTGACTCGAATAACGGCAGSCTGCGCTCTTTATCAAAAACTGTTTTGCATGCTGAAGTGAGCAAATGAGATTATTGAGTCGTGTAAATATAAAATCATGCACAAACAAGAATAAAGTGAATAGAAGTGAAGCAGTAATAAATGTATTTACATACTCACGTTTTTCGAAATAACAACTTTAAGGCGAGAAAGAGTGAGCTGTGAGAGCCAAGTGGGAAAAAGAAAATACAAGGTGGGGATATATGTACACTGAGAGCTAGCTAGTGTCAGAAAATTCTACTGAGCTCGACAAGCTAATAAACAAGGAGAGCCGTGGTTATACAAAAGTTGATAAGCAAAGAGAGTGAGTGAGTACASTTCTTGTGTGCAACTACATCGATCGATTAATCTTGAGTTCAGTTGGCGATAAAAACAGTTCGTGCAATATATTTGTGGTAAATAGGTTGACATATTTATGTCTATATATTGAAGGATCGAACCATTAATAATTAGTTTTTTTAAATAATTAAATAAAACATGTTTGTTTATTTTAACTAAGTTTCCAAAAAACAATTACACGAAATTAAGTTTTGTACTCCCGGAAAAATAAAGTGGCTTATAAGGATGCTTTAATTCATGTAAATTGTATCACATACATGTGAAAATAATAAATATATAAATATGTGTATTGAAGATGAAGTAATTTGTTGTAATTTAACATGCTTTAAGTTGTTTTGCACTCATGTCCTTTTTATACATCATAGATATATTGCATATTTTTCACATCAGATATTTACTTAGCGAGAAGTTTTAATTCTAAAATATTTGTGGAAATGCCTTTGAAGACTATAATATACCCGAACATAAGCCACCAAGGGAAAAAGTTAAAATCACACCTTTAATGCCATCTTGTCCCACTTCAAAATGGCTACATTTAATCTAAGTTGTTAGCAATTTAATGATGAGTGATCAAGCCATACTTTTATTGCACCACAACTCCACTCAGGAAAACCCTACGCATTTGAGAGCAAAAAGAGAATATTAATTAACAAAAAATAAATAAAAAAATAAAAAAAAGAGAAAATTAATTAAGAAAAATATGCTTCTGGTCACCTTAACAGGACGTGGCCATAGTTTTCTGTTGCATACCCCCAAGGCGCACACGAAACTCCTGTAATTGTAGGATATACAAGTGCTCTTGATATATTTGGTATAACTCCTGAAAAAATCAACCGATTTCGAAGCTTGTAGTGTCACACGAAAGGTTATCGATTTAGCATTGTATTTGTGCGACGCACTGGCTTTCAACTCACATACAAGCGTCGTGGCTGAACAATAAAAAAGTAGTAAAAACACATTCACTGCTCTTTAACTTAGGAGATTTTAAGTGCTGATTATCAACGGATAACGCTTCTAAAGCGTAACTGAAGATATAAGCAAGACGAGCGTTCTTTCATCTTGCATTGAAAATAAAAAAATTACTAATTTCACCAGAAAGCTGTCATACCACACTTATTACAAAAAATTTGCTCGAATTGCTGTTTGTTAAAATTTGCTGGTACCTTATTGTACTGCTGCACGTTTGCTCTTTCATTTGCTACTAAAATACGTGTAATCGGTTTTATTTTAAAGAAGTTATAACTGCCAACGTGTCAGCAGCCAACACTTCCGGTTATCCTGCAGCTGTCGTTAAAGCAGATGCTACTTGCGCCTTACGGGTATGCAACAAGAAAAGTTATTTTTGCGCGACAGCTGCTTACTGGGCAATTTTGCGCGCCTGGTAGAAATCGTCAATTTGGAATTCGAACTGAAAGCGATTCCGCGTGGCTGGGGTGACCAGATTATATTTTTTAATATATTTAGATGTGATTTTTAGTGGATGATTTTTCTTTCTAAAATCAATTTGTATAATTTTGGGAAGAGAATTTGCATAAAATTTGGATGATGTATATACATATAATATGTATATGTATAATGTTAAAATCCTCTTACCTATAATATAACTTTACTTCAATGTATTTTGAAGTGCAATGATTTTTTGGTGCTGATGTTCTTTATGCTTCGGTCAACAATATTTATATATCGTTTTTTTATTTTCATATTCCACATTATTTATTAATTTTTTTTTTTCGCTTTAAGTATATTAAAGTAATATTTACTGCTGTGATATTTATGTAAACTATTAGTAAGGCTACTAAAATATTCTCATCGTCTTTAACGTTTTTAACTTAACCAAGACTTTTTCTATCGGTAAAGAATTTTTTCGAACCAGAATTTGACTGACAGATGATTGTTAACCAGTAATTGAGAAGGCGGCTCTTAGGTTGTAAAACTAAATAAATACTAATTTCGTAGAACAAGGTTTTATACTGTTTTATGAGCTTTTATTTATAATCTCTACAATTTCCTGTATTTTTTTTTTTTTAATTTTTTTTTTATTTGTTTTTTGTTAATGATACATAAATGATTAAATGCGCTTTATATTACGAAGTTTGGTTGGCGCAATATCATTTGCTGTTGCATTCCTTATTGTAATTCGTCATTCGTCAGCACTCAGTCTACACCTGGCGAATTACCTTCTTCCCAATCGCTTGCTTCTTGCGTTGCAGCGGTTGTTTTCCATAGGTTGAGGTAAAACTGTTTCTGGTTATGTTACTTGTTCAAAATCGGTGATTCGTTCTGCTCTTGAAAGAAGAAAGTAAAATAGATAATTAAATAATTATTTTACTGTAAATTAAAGATGTATGAAACTTTTCTGTAATATATAAATGCATCATTTAATACAGTGTGTCAACAGTCGAAAAGTAAATGAAAAAATGTTATTGATATATATAGGAATTAAGGAAACGCGATACTTTCTCTCCAAGTATAAAAGTTTACTTATTTTTATAGTATAAGGTTCAGATGCGTGGCATAGCAGGTTAAAAAATCAAACTGGTAATTCATTCCTACATTTACTGAGTACTACCGGAAAATAACACTTTTCAGTCCTATAAATACCAAAACAGTAAACTCCATAAACACAATTAAATTAATGTTTGAAGAGGAATTAAAGCAATAAATTTAATTATTTAAATATATGCCTAAAAATTTTGCAGAGAAAGTTAAAGACGTTTTAGTATCAAAAGCATGTAGAAACATGAGCGAAAATAATTCTGCTTTCACTAACATACTACAAAATGACGGGGTTATTTAATTATTATTATTAACACTTGTTGTTAAGAGTTTATGTAAATTAAAGAATGGTGGCACATTGAAATTCTAAAGGAATAATATAAAACTTATAAATGGCGAATTTTGCTGACGATGGCAGTCAAGGATACAACCGTAGCAAATGGCTACAGCTTACGTTCTATACCGCGAGTGCAATCAAAGCTAATAAGAGCATTAACGGCAAGGTCAAGGTGAAAGTTATATTACACATCATCTGCTGGAGTGGCGAATTCGTTTTCGGTGGTCAAACTATCTAAGATGGGTTATGAAAATAGTGCCATTTCCTTAGTCTCTTGTGATGGCGTATAACTTCCAATTTTCTCGTAAGCTATTATATCGTTCACTTAGCTATGGAACGGTATGCGAGTATCACAAACGTGTATATAATTTTTTACCTCTTTTCTCCCAAACTTTTCATTGTTACATAGGCCAAAATCCAGCGTTCACTGAGTCTAAAAGGGCAGCGCTACTACCTTTCTACACAAGCCTTTGAATAATGGACACAGTCTGACATAGTTGTGAGATATAAGTGATGAATTGGATGTGACGGATTGTGTATACAATTCTCTTAAATACTCTACAGATATTGCCTTTAGTTGTTTACTTTTACAGCTAAGTGAACTCATTAAGTACAGTCCGTGCATATATCTCTTATATACAAAAACTAAAAATTATTGAAGCAATCGATTCCAATAAAACTATGCATTCCCGAAAAATAAGATATTTTTCCTTACAACTGTGTATTTAAAATTTGTACATGGACTTTAAATCAATTTAATTTAATGTGTGAAATATTACCCTGTTGAATATGTGCGTGTAAGTATGTAATAAATGAATTTGCTGTAAATTAAGCAAATGAAATATTCGCGTGCATTCGTTTAGGAGCTTAAAGGTATAAATTAAAATACATTAGATTATTTAAACGTCCTGCCTGACTGTCACTCACATAAATACAAGGTTACGTATACGACATGGCAAACGATTTCGCTAAAAGCGTGACTTGTTTCCAAAGGTTTATTAATTTCAAAGGAAAAGTGAATTAAATTTCACAACTGATGTATTGCCTACCAGCATGCTAATTCATATATGCAAATACACGTGTTCACTTTTACGTTCATTATATTAAGTCATCACATCACAGTTAAAAAATTCAGCAAATTTCCTGTTCCTGCTATTAGTAGTATAACTACACGGACACCAACTTGTATTAGCGAATTTCTCTCGCTGAACTACCAGCCATTTAACTTAATTTTAAGCCCATGTCTTTTTAGCTTTTAGTTTTTTCTATACACCCAATACTTTGCTACTTTATAAAACAAAGTTTAGCTTTTAATTAGGTTTTGTGGCTAAAAGGCATGGTGTTTTAGCAGCCAACCCCAAGAAGAACTAAATTAGTAAACTTTTTTCCATTAATGCACATTTTAGAAATAAAACCACCACAATTTGACTAAGATCCATTACGTGCCATGATAAGGGCGTCGTGTGTCGTCGAAGTAAATCTATGTGCAGATATCAGCCTTTCCGCTAAATCAAGATTTATATTTTCTTAAATTTCATTTAGCTATCATATTCACTATCATCAACCCACATTGTAAATATGATGATTTATTTTCATACATCAGCCATTCACATGTCTTCGGTTTTTTGTAGTACAGACAGTCACAGTTGAAATCCAAATTATGGAAATCAATACAGAGGAATCATATTTGGAGAATAAATGTAAATGGTTTAAGGGGTTATATCCACTTGCGAGGCAGAAAAAACGCGTTTTCTTGTGAATTTTTTCCAAAGAGGCATTTTATTTTATACATTAATGGAAAAAACGTACTTAAACGGAATTTAATGTGCTTTAACAATCAGCGGTTTATTTAAAAAATTATTGGATCCTCTAGCTCCTGTAGATGATCTGCGGAGAGATGTCCGAAAAAAAGTGCTTGGCGGTGAGCAAGATATCTCTGGTTCAAATTATCTGAAAACCAAACACCAAAAATATTTAGTTTTGTGATAAATAAATACAGGTAATGATCGAAGGTCTAGTTAAAATTTTGATTTTTGACAAAATGGCGGCTGCTCAAAAAAAAAATCAGTTTTTCATGACAATTTTTCACTTCACAGTGGCTTAAAAATTGAAAGTATTGTCCAAAACCTTATTCCTTAGAACATTACCTGAAAAATATATCTGAGTAAGTCGTGTGAAAATTTCAAACTGATTGGTTTAGCGGTTTCGGAGAAGTTTTCCTCACCGACTCTGAAAACACGGTTTTGAGATAAACGCGTTTAAAGTTTTAATTACTGTGCGCTCAGCCTATACCTGATCTCGAGCATCCACCTTTTCAAGAATGTAACTCCGAAACTATTAGTCGGATCAACTTTAAATTTTCAGAGAATATTCTTCATTATATGTGCATTCAAAAAATGAAGCAAAAAATATCGATTTTTTGAAAGTCACAAGCGGTTATAACTCCTTAAATGTAAGAGAGCTATTTATCCCGTTTGGGTTGTAGGAGAGAAATATATTTATGCGACTAGTTGGAGACACGCTTTTTAGATGAGTTTAAGCTTTCCTGTTCAATTCTGAATGGGTCTGTGTACATTATTTTGCATATGTATATCTGTACATCTGTTTAAATGACTATGGTTTGGAAATCCCTTAAAATCATTTGAATTTTGATAGTTCACATTCATAGTAGTGAAGAATCCGACACGTGTACAGAAGGATTTCGCTACTTCATATACATCTATCTTAAAGATAACACTACCTCTTACAATATAAAGTTCTAGTTTTCTTTTCGTTACAATACATATTACTTGTGGATTCCCAACATTCAAATGCTTTCTAATATTATAAGCACGTATATATACATATTATCTTTTAAGGATTTTCTCAAAAAGTTTCTGCATTAAAAAATAATAGCTATTTTTTCTCCTTGAATATTTAATACAGTCGCGGCGGAAGAAAATCAGTTCTATTACCGTCCGAACAAAACCTGTACTTAAGTCATTGCATACGTATTCTTCTAACTTAATTCTTATAAATCAAATAAGTTATTAATTAACTTTTTCTTCAAAGGTTTTTGGAGATCACGTCGCCACTGATTGTACAAGTACACTGGTTTACTCGAATTTATAAGTATGTTTTATTATTCAATTGGGAGGCGAAATTAGCGATGAAATAACAAATTTTGTTATTACCTTCGTGGAACTCGTTTGAAGTATGCACACTCTTTCAGAATTCATTCTTGCTTATAGAACATTGCAGTTGATTCCCACACGTATGTATAATTCTTATTAAGGCAAATAAGATAGTGCTGCAAATACTATTTGTACTACAAAATGCTTAATGACCAGTGCGAAGAATCGTTTAATTAAATATAATGAACGCAAGTTGGCTCTAATTGGGCACTTGTACTAATTTCCTAACATGGCCAGGCAAATATAAACGAAATGGTTAACCATTAACTGAGGAATATTTTGAGGGAACATTTAACTGACTAACAGGTGCAATCAAAATGATGAGAACTGTGAAATGTTAAGAGCTATGTATACACGCGAATTTATTTTAGTGTGCGCAGCAGTATAAGCATAAACGTAGATTTGCCTTATGAGTGTATAATTTCACTGAATTAAAGGCTAATTTAGTTAAATGCATTTCTAAAAGTAAATATAACTGTATTTCCTTATTTTGAGCCGCATTGAACAAAACTATTAAAAAAGTAATTTCAAATTCTATAACTGACAGAAGAAACCTTAAATAAATTCACACGAAAATACAAAAAAAAAAAATACGAAAACTTTACGAAGACGCTGAAGCACGGAAAAATCTCCAGATGGATGTAGGTCAAGCACAGATATGTTTACGATAAGTATCAATAACCGGTTCCAAAAGCAAAAGAGCAGCGAGAATCAAATATGCCATCAAACTCATTCAGCTGAAACTATAAAACACCCGAAGAGAGATATAACAACACGTAAAAGGTACTAAACGCAGTCATTTTACACAGCGGCTGTATCGTTTATACCTTCCGCGAACAATTTTTCCAATGTAGTGGATTGTGGCAAAATTAAAAGGTGAAAGTGAGTTGGTGAACAAAGAGGAACAATTTCACTAAACTATGTGATTATTTTTAAACCAAGTGAAGCACTAGTATTGTTATAAATAAATGAAATAAATATCTGATAAAGTTTTGTAGGTAAATATTAACTACAAAGGCTATAGAAATGTGATGTAACTGAATCTTAAACAAATTTTCATAAAATTAAATTTAAAGATTATATTACAAAAAGACTTACTCCACTAGAAGGCAGTACAAGTTCAAAGAATTTCTTTTAAGCCATAGGCTTGATTCCTCACTGTTGATAAAAACTCTGGACTTTAGCTTAGGTGTTGGGTAAGTAGAGGAATCTATATTGAGTTTGTCAAARGATATGAAGTCATGATTCATGAATAGCACAAAAATTCAGCAATAAGAAC